GAAACCTTTTAAGGTACTCTTCGATTGGCTTAGAAAACTTACGCTTTACACTAGCGAGTTCCTTTAGACTAATCTTGGTTTGGCTCATATAGAACTGTTCATGGAATAAACGCTCTAACTGGGTCCAGTTACACACCGTATTGGGGGGTAACGTTCTGAACCAAGTGAAGGCATTTTTAGTGAGAGAACTTGGGAAATATTTTATTCTAAGACTCTCGTCATTTGCTATCTCTCCAGCCTCAATTAGATAACGGGTCACGTGTTCGACAGTGGATTCTGTCGTATCACCTGAGAACTTAGTAAACTTAGGTACTTTCGTTCTAGGAGGAAAATCCGCCTGAAGGATATAATCTACTATTGGAGAGGTGTAGTTTGGCCGGGTGAACCCAGTGTTCAGACCATTTCGGGCCATAATTCTTTCGACCATGGCTGCTAGATTATTATCGACAGCCACATTATTGCGTCGAACCTGTTGGACAACATTGTCTGCGTCCTGGTTTCGATTCACTATAATTACTTATGGGTCTCTTTCCTCTGGAACGTGAACCTGGTCTCTCAATGGTTCGACCCTACGTGGTTCGACTATGGGATGACCAATCCTTTCCTAGATCCCTACTGCTGGTTGGTGTCCCAAGTCTTGTCGTGGAACGTTTGCTACTAGGTCCTGATTCCTGGCCAAGGGAGGTACCCCCATAAATTCAACCAATCGCGTTAATTGTATTGCTAACTGTTGATTAGTGTGGGTCGTGTTTTGGATTAATGGTTGAAAGATGTCACCCATGGTTTGGGACAGAGTCTGAACCATTTGCAAATTGCTTTCATCCATTTGCTGTCTTAAACACGCAACAGAGGTATTAGTCAAGTTAGGGCCTTGTGTCGAATACCTTAGGCTTGAACTTTGGGGATTACAACCAATGTTCACGCTAGATCCTGATCCTTGTAATGGCGAAGCCATTGCATTATATGAGAATATGGGGGCGCGTTTTGGATCCCTTGCATTACAGTTGTGGGCATCCCATATGGGTGGTTTCTCGGTGACTGCGAAAACCCGGGAGGAACAAACTGCCTAGACGTCGAACATCCTCCCAACGGCATTTGAGGATTCGACACCTGAGGTCCAATATATTCCAATACTGGTTAGCTGTAAGGTCTTATTATGGTTGACCCAGTCCCAAGCACTGAAGGTGTTGGCTCTGGCCTCACAGGATGCGCCGTTTGTTCTCCTGTCGATGGTATCGAAGGCGGGGTTACGTTGTTCCCTGTTCTTTCGCTAGAACCGTCTCCTTGAGGGTTAGGATTATTTGGCTGATTTGCATCCGTCTCCATATTCCTAATATTTCGTCTTGTTAGTCTCTCTTCGTTTGCAGTGGTAATTCTACCACTTCTCAGTAACATAAAATGCATTTTTCACGAAAGGACCAATAAGACTATATTTTCTATAAATTTTGATTATATGAAGGAATTTCTTTTTTAGCACTGTCCCACTAGGCGTGCCTTTTTGTTTCCCTTGAAAATCGGAAAATAACCGCTGATCTTCCAAATCTAACTTTGGTGACTCACATGATCAATCAGATTGATCCTAGGACATGTGCTAAAAAGGTTTTCTTCGAAAATCTATCTAAGTTTCACGCTTTGGCAATATTGGGGTGAAAGGTTCTACAAAGTCTCTATTCGACTATAAAAGAAGAGAAGATAAAGTTTTCAGCGAGAAGAGATAAAAGATTTAGAAAAGGGGTTGAGAATGAGGGCGAAGTAAAATACATAGAAAAGGGGGAAGATCGCAAGAAAAATAAAGAAAGCTTTGTAAAGTCTGAACAAGTAAAATAAATTTCATTGGAAAGTAAAGGATGATGTGTTTACATCACGTACATTTTCTTCGATACTCTCTTTCTCTGCACTTGGATACTTGGAGTAATTTTAAGAGTGACTTGTACAACAGTAAATTACAACACACCGATTCTATGTCTAAGACTTCCTATTTATAATAGTAGAAAATAACTACCAATAACTTCCTATATCATCATCTTCCGCCACTTGTCATAATGCATGGGTCTGTCGCCCACATGACACCAGATGTCCTCTTATTCATCCAGCGAATGAAAACACTCCCTCCAATTTATTTAAATTTCAAATCTTTAGGATAACTACCCAGCAACGTCATGGTCGAAGCCTTCATGATTTTCCTTAAATCTTGTAAATGCTTCGACTCTTCTTCCTCAGATTGACTTATTTGAGCTCTTTCACAATATTCATCAATCTGATTAGCGGGAGCCATTCGATCAACATGACGCGCACCATCATATTAAGTATTTTCTACTTGTCCTCCAAGACTAGCCATATTATGATTTTGTGAATGGAGCATATAGAGAGGAAAACCAGATATGAAAGCCTGTTGAGTATTTCCCAGTGGACTATACTGTGAAGCTTTTTCAAAAAAATAGCCTTAGAGGACCATCAATGTTATTTTTAATTTCATGAGATGAATCTCGAGAAGGAATAGTTTGAGCATCAGCCAACCAAGTATCCTTATTTGTCATCTCAGATGTAACATCTGATGTAGCATGAAAAGACCTTGTAGGAAGCCTTTGAGTAGAAAAAGTCAATGAGAAGCCAAAGCCCTGAGATAAAGAGCTTTGATTTCGTAGAGGATGCACAATAGAATCATTAGAAGATGCAGTATCCATCCCCCTTTGGTACATATGTGGCCATAGTTACGGCTGGTGATTTAAGTGGGCCTAGATCATATGGCTTTGTGTTAGGGTTCAAAGCAAACACTGTAATGTTGGGTCTTGTTAACTCTCTCCGAAACAATAACACATGGACAACACCATGATTGTTAAAATCATATGGATTCGATGGTGGTGGAGATGTTATCGATCCGTCAGCGCACTGGGTCTTCTTTGATGCTGGGTTAAATCTAAGAGCCGACTTCACAACTCTGTAATTTCCAAACCCTTCTTTGTAGCCGTCTTCGTCTAAATTCTATATAGCACCAAGGAATTACAACACAAGCTGGGTTGTGAAGGTGAGAAACTCATCAGGTGCTTTGAAAGAATAAGGTGTCAATTCTGAACTAGACTCTTCAGCAAATAGTGGCGGCTGTCCTCTATATAGTTTTTGTGGCTCTTGTTGTGCCCTATACAGATTCAGTGGTTCTTCTAATTCTTCTTAAACAAGATTAGGGATATTGTCAACATTATCATCAAAGGAAGCAGTTGGCTCTTTGAACTTCAACAATTCATTAGTTGGGTTCAAATCAGGCTCATCTTCGTCGTCTTCTGGCAGAATTTCTCTCCATTCCGGTTTAAATCTCCATAACAAAGTTGTTGTAAATGTATCCCAACTATATCTACGATGAACACGGGACCCCCATATCCACCATTTGAGAGCAGAACCTCTCAATAGTCCGACAGCTTTCAACACTTTCAATGACTCAAGTGTTCTATGCTTCTTGAAAATTTTCTCAAAACAAAGAATTCACCAATAGACATCTTCTTCTCCATCAAACAATAATATTATCATGAGTTAAAGCAGAAAGTGAGATCGAAAATGAGAGCACCAATTGTTAGAAAGCTAAATTAAAAATTGTTCTAGACTGGGCCGACGCTTAGCTCACAACCAAGCAAGCCCAAGCCCCAATGAGGTTGGGCTCAAGAGTACCACGCTAATGGGCAGGATCCCCGTCGAGCACAACATCTCCCCGTCGAGCATAGCCCGACAGCTGTCGGGCAGGTCCCTCGCTTCCGACCAGCCAGCCTCCTTCTTCCCCATCGTCGGGCAGGACCCTCGCATCCAACCAGCCACCTCTGGCTTCCTGGAGAACTCCTCGGGTATTCCCCCACGTTCTCCACGTGTCCCTCACGCAGGGACACGCCATAAAGTAACTACCCACGTCTTGGAGATTCGGTCTTCCTTCTCCCGGATAATGCGGAACAGTTACCCTAGGGTGAAGACCACGTCCTGGTCTTCACGACGCCACGTCAACCCTAGCAGTTACTAACATTGGGCCTGACAGCCCAACCTAGTGCTAGGTAACGGTTAGCCCTGCGCTGGAGGCTCACTATAAATACCCTCTTCATTAGAGGGTCAGGTAACTTAACTTTCTTACTCTCTCTATGTACTTGCTTCCACTTTGCCCGTCACTTAATTTGACATCGGAGTGTGTTTCAGGTACACCCCCCCTTCTTCTTTCATACCTTCGGTGAGTAGCTAGCAGATCAACGACGCGTGACAGTTCATAGCTCCCCTTCTAGTTAGGTACGATAAAAAACCATAACAAATCTAGAGAATGCTAAGAAATATAAATAAAACTAATTAATAAAATAAAAACATTTTCATTTATTTTTCTCCCTCTTTCATCTCTTAGTGTGAATACATATATATAATATTACTAATGGATAATAAAATAAATGTCCAATGACTAAAAATTCAATTAAACAAGAAAAACTCAACTAATATAAATTCTATTTCTAACTTTAATAATTAAATTGCCTAATATTAACTTCATATCCAATCACTGTATTTGAAGAATAAATGTCTATTCTTTTTTGTCCTGGAATAATTTTTCTATCCTCGACGTAGATTCATACTTGATGCAGAGATACTGTCGAGAGAGTATGTCCAAGTAACCAAGCTGTCGCATAAACTAATAGAAATTAAAAAGTAGAGTTGAAAAACTTTTGATATAGATCCAACGAATCAATACAATTCGAACACGCAACTGTCACGCTGTGCATATATTTCCAATCTTGTTCTGGCACCTTCATCTCATCCCCATTAAGGATATTTCTGTGATTTCATATACGATAACAAGCCATTCACTGTCTTTTCCTTTTCCTTTTATTGGCCTTCTCTACTGTCACATGCTTATGTCCCACTCACATCATGCCATTGCCGCATCATCAACAGTCTTACCAATATAATACTAATAAAACCATACATATACTACATTATAGCACTCACATTGTTTTGTTCTCTTTCAGTTTTTCTTGTGCAAAACCATGGCTAGCAGCAATAAAGAGAAGGAGGAGAAAGACATTGAGTTTATGTTTAATGAGGAGGATGTAGAGGAGGAACTTGATATTGAAACTGACAATGGCAGCAGTGATGATAATTATGATGACGATGATGACACAAATCATGCATTTCAACCTCACTCTTTCACTTCCAACCAATGGCCTCAAAGTTACAAGTATAATCTTCTTCCACCATTTTCTTTTCTTTTTTGTTTTGTTTTGTTTGCCTTAACGTACTTTGAAAACTCACTACTGCATGCTCGTATGTATGTCAGAGAGACTACAGATTCTTACACAATTGCTACAGCTCCAAGTTTTGGATCGATTCTAAAAGGACCAAGTTTTATTTATTCAAGTTTTGGCAATCGTTCAAAGAGTAGTAACTCGGACATAGATGGAAAATCTCCCTTTCTATCCGCTCATGAGAAAGATTCAATGCAAAATCTTGCTGGAGAAATATCTCTTGGTCATGGTTGCAGCTTCACTCAGACAATTTTCAATGGTATGTAATTTTATTTGACATGTGCATGTTCGCTCGCTATGAACATTCTAAACTCAGTTGCCTTTTGTTTGATTTTGTTCTGTCAGTTTGCAAATATATGTCCAAACTTGGTTTCAATTTTGAGGTGATGCTAGCTATGACTTTTCAGGGATTAATGTGATGGTTGGAGTTGGCCTTATATCTGCACCTTATACGGTGAAACAAGCTGGTTGGGCGAGCATGTTGGTGATGACTCTTTTCGCAGTTGTTTGTTGTTATACAGCCATGCTTATGAGACTATGCTTTGAAAGTAGAGAAGGACTCACTAGCTACCCAGATATAGGAGAAGCTGCATTTGGTAGATATGGCCGTATTTTTGTATCTGTGAGTTTTTCTATTTCTTTACACCATGAATTTGTATGCACTGTTGTTAGTTGACCGATAGAAAACATGATTGAGCTTTACTGAGAATGTTTTGCTATCAATGAAATATTAATCATCTTTTACTACTGATATTATTTTTTGCAGATCATTTTGTACACTGAGTTATATGTAAGTGCTGAAACCATTTTATTTTTATTACATTTCCTTTGGATCCGCTTTGTTTTGTAACTCTGCGCTGTATGTTTAAGAATCTTTTCGCGAGTGCAGTCATATTGTGTGGAATTCATCACCTTGGAAGGAGATAATCTCACTAGTCTGTTTCCTGGAACATCCTTAGATTTAGGTGGTCTCCATTTAGATTCCATGCACTTGTTTGGAGTTCTTACTGCACTTATTGTTCTACCTACTGTTTGGTTGAAGGATCTCCGAATAATCTCGTATCTATCAGGTTCTCTAAATTCTAAAAGTGATGATTTCTTCTTTCAGATTTTGCAACTTACTTTATCCTCATTAGAACTTCAATTTTGATTTTCAGTTGGAGGGATTGTAGCAACAATATTGATTTCTATTTGCGTGTTATCGGTCGGGACAGCAGTTGGATTCCATCATACTGGTCAAGTGGTGAATTGGAGTGGCATTCCATTTTCTATTGGTGTCTACGGGTTTTGCTTTGCAGGACATTCAGTTTTTCCAAATATATACCAGTCTATGGCTGACAAAAAACAATATACCAAAGCATTGATAACATGGTTTGATACTTAACTTTGTTGTCGCCATTGTAACAATATATCAATTTGTTCTTTGTGAACCTGTTATTGCTGAACCCATTTCTTTCTGTACAGTTTCACTTTGTGTATTTTGATATACGGAAGCGTTGCAGTTATGGGATTTCTCACATTTGGCGACAGCACTTTGTCTCAGATAACATTGAATATGCCGGCAGCTGCATTTGCTTCCAAAGTTGCATTGTGGACAACAGTAAGTTTCAAATTTTGTTCGTCTCTCTCAATGCTATTTTTATAGTTTCATTCTAGAGAACAAGTTATGTATTCCTGATGTTGTTTTCCTTGATGTTTTTTCAGGTAATTAACCCATTCACTAAATATCCTTTTTGCATAGAATGAATGTTTACTACTACTATATAGCAAACAATTGGAGATGGTTTAATCCAATTTAGCAATAAGTTCAGGTTAACCTTTCCTTAATAATTAACAAATATGCTTTGTTGATGAATCCACTGGCAAGGAGTCTAGAGGAATTGCTGCCACAACGAATTTCAAGTACTTATTGGTGTTTTCTTCTTCTTAGAACAGTACTTGTTGCATCTACGGTTTGCGCGGCTTTTCTGATTCCGTTTTTCGGTAAGTCTTAGACTTCTTCCCTCCAAAATACATTGACTAAGAGATACTATTCCTACTTAATTACATGATTTGATATGGCTATATGATAAATATAAAGATTTTGCAACTTTTATATATATATATATATATATATATATATATATATATATATATATATATATATATATATATATATATATATATATATATATATATATATATATATATATATATATATATATATATATATATATATATATATATATATATATATATATATATATATATATTTTCCATATTCTCCTTCATGGTGGTGGTGAATAGGTGTTATCCGTTTTCAATTTGGACAAACTCTTTCAAAATTGTTGTTGTTGAGCCTCTTAATTGCAACATATGCAAGTGTATTTATAGATCACACGTATGTGTTGTCCATATCAAGCCATTGTCAAGTTTTTATTTGATTAAGTGTTTTGTCAATTTCAATATGTCTGATTTTATTGTGTTGCATTAGGTTATAAGTTATGAAAATTGTTGATTTATTGTCATACTCTCTCCTTCCTTTTTAATTGTTTATTTCTACTTTTTAAACATATAAAAAAAACTAATAATTTTTACTATTTTTCAAGTAATGATTGTCTTTTTACATATAATATCCTTAATTATTTATTAGTTCATTTAATTTTTCTCTTTTTTTAAAAAATAATTAGGAATAATTTTGACAAACAATTGATGTTACTTTGAACTTTGAAAACGACAATTAAAAAAGAAACAAAAATTTTACTAAAAAAATATACTTAATAAAGAACATAGGAAGTAATAATCATTGGCTCTTTCCATTTTATCTTAAATATTCTAGGATAGTTTTTAGTCAGAAGAGCTCTCATATATCTTGCGTCATTGCTTGAAGCTCTACTTTAGCATTAGACTTTGCTGCCACACTTTTCTTTTGTATTATTTCAAGTTACAAAATTTCTCCCAAAAAAATGGGACAATGCCATATTGATGACCTTCTATCTGCAGTTGACTCTACATATTCAGCATCTGTATATGTTTCAAGCCTAGCATTTTCATTACATTTGAATTGAATTCCTCTTCTTAGGGTTCCTTTAAGATAGTGAACATATGAGTTCAACTTGCAAATGATTCTTTTTCGAGCTATGCATAATCTGGATGACAAGCTTACTGCATAAATAATATATAGTCTGATGTGAGATAAGTATATAATCCTTCCCGCTAGCCTTTGATACATCTCTTTGTGTAATCCAACATCTTCTTTTGCATTCTCAAACTTTTGTTTCATATCGACTAGAGTGTTGTCATGTTTACAGGCTGATTTTCTAGTCTCTTTAAGTAGACATGTCACATACTTGTGTTGAGATATGAAAAACCCCCCTTCTTGGAATAAGATACCTCAATTGCCAAAAATATATTTCAACTTACCAAAAGCCTTAATTTCAAATTCATTTGGAAGGAAGATGATAACATTTATATCCCTTTTAAGTGGAAGAGTATCATCCAAAAACACGCTTAAAATCTCTAGGGTCATGTTTTCCCCTGTCTAAATAATGGGTGTGAACAAAGGAATCACACCCAAATATTTGTAGTTCAAGATCATTTGTTGTGGAAAAATTTGTATAAAACAAGGATAGGACATTTATGAGATTCTTTATCTCTAGGTGGCCTATTAATGAGAAGGGTTGTATTGATGACAACATCTCCCTATAAGGTTTTTAGGATATTATTTTGAAATAAAAGAGCTTGTTTTTAATTAAGAAGCTGTCCATTTTTCCATGCCACATAATTTTGTTGCAGTATTTAAATACAAGAAGAATCATGGATAATGCCTTTTTTCAGACAAAAAGAATTAAGAGAGTGGGAAAACTGGAATTTTTGTGCAATTATGAAAAATACAATTACCCTTTGAATGATTCTATGTGCCACATACCTCGTGAGTGGCACTAGGAGAAAGTGTAGTTTAGTTTTGGCGACTGTGACTAGGCCCAACACAGAGAACAATTTTGGTGCCTTGAGCTTTAATTTGGTTCAGGAAGCTTATGGCATGTTCAGGAAGCTTTAATTTGATGTCACCATTTTCTATTCTTCATAGCGAATTTTTTACACAAATGCCATAATCAGAAAACAAAAATACCAAATTGCTACAATCTGATATTTTTTTCTAAAAATACCACTATTTTACCTAAGGTTCATCCATTAGAAGGACGACCCAATGAAAGTTCATTTCAATTAGTTAGACTTCGGTCATCCGTTGGCCGACCCTATACTACGTTTTTTTTTTATTTATTATTTTTTCATTTCAGAAATAAATATATATTATATATTATTATTTTATATTTTAAATTGTTTTTTATATATTAAAATTATTTAAATGATATTTTATATTAATAAATAAATAATTTAATTATTTTAAATAATTTTTTAATATTAGTAAATATTTTTCACATATCTAATTAATTGTTTTTTATATATTAAAATTATTTAAATAATATTTTATATTAGTAAATAAATAATTTAATTATTTTATATAATTTTTTAATATTATTAAATATTTTTCACATTATCTAATTAATTGTTTTTTATATATTAAAATTATTTAAATGATATTTTATATTAATAAATAAATAATTTAGTTATTTTAAATAATTTTTAATATTATTAAATATTTTTCAAATTACCTAATTAATTTTTTTATATATTAAAATTATTTAAATGATATTTTATATTAATAAATAAATAATTTAATTATTTTAAATAATTTTTTAATATTATTAAATATTATTTGATAATTTATTAATTATTTTAAATAATTTTTTAATATTATTAAATATTAATTTTTTGATAATTTTTTTATTAAATTTCTTAAAAAATATCAAAAAAACAATTTTAAAATAATTAAATTATTTATTTATTAATATAAAATATCATTTAAATAATTTTAATATACAAAAAACAATTAATTAGATAATGTGAAAAATATTTAATAATATTAAAAAATTATTTAAAATAATTAAATTATTTATTTATTAATATAATGTATCATTTAAATAATTTTAATATATAAAAAACAATTAATTGGATAATGTGAAAAATATTTACTAATATTAAAAAATTATTTAAAATAATTAAATTATTTATTTATTAATATAAAATATCATTTAAATAATTTTAATATATAAAAAACAATTTAAAACATAAAATAATAATATATAATACATATTTATTTCTGAAATAAAAAAAAAACAAAAAAAAACCCACGTAGTATAGGGTCGGCCAACGGATGGCCGAACCCCAACTAGCTGAAATGACCCTTCATTGGGTCGTCCTTTCAATGGACGAACCCTAAGTAAAATAGTGACATTTTTGAAATTTGTTTTCAGATTGTGGCAATTTGGTATTATTCTTTTCAGATTGTGGCATTTGTGTAAAAAATTCCTTCATAGCTCTCGCTTCTATAAAAGGGTAGTTTGATCTACTTTTCATGCACACTTTCATATTCTCATTTATTAGAGAAAGTTGTTGCTCTTCTCTAAATCAGGGATGGCAAACAAACTCGGACCCGCCCGCACCCGTTCGAGCCCGCCCCAAAATTAATAGGAAAAATCCAATTTAATTGGGTGCGCGTGTGGGTGCAGGGGAAACCCGATTCTTAACTACGGGTGCGGGTGCGGGGAGACACTAAGACCCGCCTGCACCCGGCCCCGAATAATATATTTTTGTTTAATTCTCATATTTTACTTATTTTGATATTCATTTATTAATTATATTTTTAACTAAATTATTAATACCCTTATTGCAATTAAAATAATTAAATTAATTAAGTTAATATTCATTTACTAATTAAATTTTTAATTAATTAATTAAGTAAATTATTAAAATAATTAATTTTTAAATTAAATTATTAATTCTTATTTCAATTAAAAAAATAATAATTTTTTTGCAGGTGGGGCGGGACGGGTGTGGGTGCATCCGTTCTCTACTGGGGGCGGGTCTGGGCAGTAAATTTTTACCCCCGATTGGATTTGGGGGCGGGGGCGGGTCTGGGCAGTAAATTTTTACCCCCGATTGGATTTGGGGGCGGGGGCGGGTGTGTTACTTGGAGGCGAGTGCGGGTGCGAGTATAGTTAAACCCGCCCCCGCCTCGCCCCGTTGTCATCCCTACTCTAAACTCAAAGTTCTTTTTTTCTACTCGCCGACATAAATACACCATTTTCCATCTCTTTATACTTTTCCTTTTCAATCATGGCGATTATTATGGAATTAGAAGATAGTGGTAAGACGATAGAACCATCAAATGGTAGAGAATGGGTTGAGATATATTTGCATTGCATGAAGCTATAATGCAAGTGATAGTGATATTGTTTCCATTTTCCCTTCTCCTTTCTTAGGCATCATAAAGCTACTGGTGACGTCTAACTCTTCCAAGAAATAAGGGATTGAAGACTATGATTTGATTTAAAATAAGAAAAGGAAGGTAGATGCCTTTCGCGAAGGTCTGAATTTATTTGAAACAAGTGATGAAGTAGACGTCATCTTAGAGCTTTTCTCCAAGGCTGAGTGAGTGTGTATTGTGTAACACCCCACTTCCCAAAATTAAAATAAAATACAATTAATTCAAGTAAACATCAGAGTTTCCCCTCACAAGTGGGATGTCACATCAAATAGTTCAACATAAATCTTCATTAGTTGGTTTTCAAAATAAACAACGGACATAATCATTAATTCAACATTCTTGGCCATTCGCCAAATTACATAAAGTCATTCATTAA